CTCACGAGCAGCCGCGCCCAGGAGCGCACTGTGCGGAAAGCCTCTCATGGCGGCCTCTAGTGTATACTGAGGCTCGGGTCTCCTGTCTCCTCCCGAACGGACGGCCGTGTGTTTGAACAACAAAGAGTGTCGTGACCTCGTTTCTCAGCCGATGAACACGAGGTCAGTCCTGGCCTGTGCTTCCTCTTTCCTTCTGACTCAGCTTCTAGGTCACCGATCTCCCCTCCCGCTCTGGGCACAGGCTGAGCGCGGGCTCCCCAACCCGCCTGGACTCCCACGCGGCCCTTTATGGCTGTTGCCGTGTCCAGCTCCCGGCCATGGCCACGCATCTCAGTCCGGCGTTCCAGCTCTTCAGCCGCGGGTGGCGGGGGGGCGGGCTTTAAATTCCCATTGTGGCAACACCACTGTGCGCTCCCCACCTGCTGGGCATCAGATCCTTGCTTGCTGATGCTTTAGGAAGCGGGAACTCAAACCAGCGGGCAGCTAACGCGGCGGCTGCCTCCACTGGGCAGTCACAGCATTTCCTCCATCGTCGGGGGCGGTTTCCACGTCGCCGGGAGGACAGGGACTCTGGTCCCACTTGTGCAGCTCTCTCCAGAGCAGCCCCTGCCCTCGCCGGCCAGTCTGCCCTGAATGGTGTCCCTTGAAGCACAGAATTTTAATTTTTGCGTGTGTGAGGTCGGAGGGAGGCCCAGGAGCCCGTGCGTGCACAAGGCAGATGGAGGTGCAGATACCGGGCCCTCCCTGGAACTCCTAACAGGTCAGCGTGCCAGACAGGTGGCGACAGAGACTCCTTCCTGGAACCCGTGAGGGACCTGCCCATGGCGGGAACCCCCGCAGCTCATGCCCCGCCCTTTGGGCCCGTGTGGCTCGCCCGCCCCGAGTGCAGATTAAAGTGTCACCTTCGGTTTGCCCGGCTCTTTAACTCCGACTGTCTCCTGCGCGGCGAACCCTTACATTTTTTAAGTACATATGTTTACTGATGTCAGAGAGGAAGGGAGAGGGAGATAGAAACATCGATGATGAGAGAGAATCATGGATCTGCCTCCTGCACGCCCCGCACTGGGGATGAGCCCACAACCCAGGCCTGTGCCCCGACCGGGAATCGAACCGGGACCTCCTGGTTCCTAGGCCAATGCGCAGCCCCTGAGCCACACCAGCCGGGCCAGCGTTTTACGTTTTGACGATGCCCAGTTTAGCTGTTTTTCCTCTGTGCCTGGCTTGTGGAGCCATATCCAGGGCAGGGTGGGGTGCGGGGCAGGGAGGAGTGCGGGGCAGGCGAGGCCACTCGCTCCCCAGGCCGCCCTCCCGCTGTGCAGGGCCCTCCGTGGGCTGGTCCCCTGGAGCGCTGCCCTGGCACCTGCGTCCGGGTGAGCTCATCCGCCAGTCGGTGCCAGGAGGCTCGCTCAGTCACCCTCGGGAAGAAGTAACCACGACACTCCCGTCCCCCCTCCCTGGCCCTGACCTCTGGCCCCTGACCCCTGACCCCAGCCCAAGCCGAGCCCAGAGCTCCCGGAGCTCCTGACTTTCCCAGACCCCCGCAGAGAGAGGAGGGTGCCTGTGCGGGGTGGTTGTAGTTTCTTCTGCAAAAGGCTTTCTTGTTTGTGTTTGGCCCACAGCTGGGAGGGGCTCCAAGGTGGTGAAAAGGATGCCTGTAGCCCTGGCCCACGTGGGTCAGTGGTTAGAGCACTGGCCCGCGTACTAAAGGGACTTGGGTTCAATTCCTGGCCCTGGTCGGGGTGCAGAAGGCGCCAATCAATGTGTCTCCTTCACATCAATGTTTCTCTCTCTCTCTCTCTCTCTCTCTCTCTCTCTCTCGCCCCCCCTCCCCCCCCGGGAAAAAAT